TTTGTATTGGAAAACTTCATGTCACTTTACTTTTTAAGAAAGGAGGGGGTGAAAAAACAAAGGAATTAGAGACAAGTTAAACACCTGCTGTTAGGAAATTACTAGAATCTATAAGTAAAGGTGGCTGAATGCTTTCAAATGTTTCAACTGATCAGAGAGAAGCAACATGAGTTTATAAACAGTAGGTTATTATTGATGAAATTGGTGACATTTTTTGAACAGATGTCTAAAACAGTGTTGAAATATCTATGCATGTTATTTATATGGACTCCCACAAGTCAGTCATTAAAGCAGTGGCCTTCAAAATGCGATGGATGGAAGGTCCTCCAGGTGTTTCGTCGACAGATACAAAATGCAAGCTGAGACAGTATAAAAAGTGAACAGGATGGAACCCTCGTTCCAATCACTCCTGTGATGCCACACAACCAAACTGGTTTCCACTTGCACACCACAAGTGAGTGCAAGCAACAATGTACTTTTACAAGACCCACATTCCTACTGATTTGTTTTGATTAACACAGATCTAATATCTGTATTGGTTTCTCAAGAGAAATGTTTCAAATAAATGGATTGTCTAATTTTCCTTATAATATGGAGATGTCAATACTTGTGTTTCTGGCATGAATTACTTACTATATTCAATTACAAAGATGAACCTTAAATAGAACACTGTAGGAACAAAAACAACATATATATTGTTTCTTTTATTTCTGCCACGTGTTTGCAGTGGCAAGTGAAATTGGGTGGGTTACAACTGTTAGATGATCCACAGATCTTTTGCTTTGTCTCAGTGACCCACAGATGAAAACATTTGAGTAACACTGTGCTAAAGTCTGGCACAAGAGGCTATTAATACTCATGGGACTGGAAATAAATATTGACTGGATTAGAAAATTAGTTGAGCAGCAGGACAACAAGATTAGGGGTTATAACACAGGTAGTTTAAATGGCAGAATATGACTAGTCATTTCCCAGGAGGGCCTGGGACACAGCCTCAACTACTGACTATATTTTTTTATGGACTTGAATGGTGGGATTGAAGGTCATACAGCAAAATCTAGCAATGACAACAATAAATGTATTGTAACCAGTGCAGATGGGAACACAAAATTGCACAGATGTTTCTAGATTAACTCAATAAATTTATCTGAAATTCATTTGTCACAGTTTTGTTCAATATAGGAAAATTTGAGGCAATTGGCTTCAGAAAAAGGCTATAAAATATACCTTTTAAATGGTGAACTAACAAGAAACAAAGAATAGGGATAAAATGGCATCAAGTTCACAGGCCCTGACTATTGGAGAACAAGGCTCGGTGCTGGAGCCTCTGCTATTTACAATCTATATTAATGACTTAGACATTACTCAGTCTGTGCGCGTATGGTTGCAAACAATAAAGAATCAGTGGAAATGCAAGCTATGAGGACAAGAGAGGTGCTGCAAGAGATATAGATAGGTTATGTGAGTGGTCATCACGATGACAGATCAAATATAATGTGGGAAGGCTGTAGAGTATTCACTTTGGTAGCAAGAATATAAAAACAAAATACTTGTTAAATGAGTGAATTGATAAATGTTAATGTTCAGGAGGTAGTTAGCACACTCACAACAGAGAGAAAGCCAGCATGCAGGTACAGCAAGTAATTAGTAAAAGGGAAATGGTGAGTTGATCTTTACTGCAAGTGGATTGGAGCACAAGAATAAATAAGTTTTACTCAATCATTAATAGGCAACTCAAGGCTTCAAATGGGTCACGTGAACGGGCTGTGCCATGCCATGTTAGAGACTAAAAAAAACTGTATATGCTGGAATCCGAGTTAGAAAAACAGGAGGCTGGAAGAACACAGCAGGCCAGGCAGCATCTGGAGAAAAGCAACAATCAACCTTTCTGCTATTACCTTTCTCCAGTCCTGAAGAAAGGTAATACCCGAAACATTCACTGCTCCTTTCCTCCAGATGCTGCCTGGCCTGCTGTGTTCTCCCAGCCTTCTGTTTGTCTATCCCATGCCATGCCCATACTAGGGCAAACTGCAGCAGACTTGGAACCAAATTTCATGGGACCCTCCCACCTTCACTTGCCTCCTCCAGTACCTTAAAATTCCAGCTGTTAAGCAAAATACACTGGCGTGAGATGATACATGCAACATTTTACTAGATTGTTTCTGGAGTTGAGAGGCTGGCCTATGAGAAGCTAAGTACAACTAATCCAAGTTAAGAACAGGTGATCTCATTGTAATTTGCAAAATTCTAAAGGGGTTTGATAGGATAGATACGGAAGTTGTTTTGGACTGTCCAGCAGTTCTCAGGGTTGGAATTTCTGTCCTGCTGGGAATTTGGCTGATTGGGACAAACTGACACTGCCCCGTTAAGTGCCAGACTGCACTGAAAAAGTGTCGTACCTCTCATGGAAATGTGATGTGGGGCACCAGCCAGTGCACAGGACCTCAACAAAATTCCATTTGATGTCATTTGTTACGTTGATAATAGTAATTGGGGTACTATTGCAGACATGGAAACCCAATTGGAGAATTCAGATGTGCAGTTTCCAGAAAGACGGAGATGTGGTTAGGAGGGAAGTGCCTCTGAAGAGGGAAGCATAATGCTCAATATTCTGTAATGCAATCTCTATCAAACAGCTATACTTTAGGCCTAGCCTTCTAATATTTTGCTTTTTGTCCTGGCATTGCAGGCCATAATTGCAGCCTGCAAACACTGCAAATAGTCAAGGACAGAGAGATTACTTAAAAGCATCCTTTTCATCATTTGCAAAGATTTTTAAAAAAAAAAACTACTTGTCCCGAAGGTTTCAATTATTAGCTTGTGAATGTTGCTTTGAATGAGTCAAAGTACACAGATGCAACTAGTGATAGCAAAGAAAGAAAAATAACCCATTTTAAAACTACAGTAATGTGTTAAATTTAGGCAAACTACAGTCATTGCTCAGCAAAAACACTGGAGCCATTTGATCAATGCATCAGTCAAAATTGTTACCTGGTTAGCAAGGAGAAGGTCTGGTAATGCAACATAAAAGTGAATTGTGACAGTGTAGGTTTCCTTGCAGCAAAGACACATTTATGCAACTGAATTAATATGAGAATCTAGAACTTACAGCAACAACTCTTTTTGACTCTGTGATTTATATGCACCAGCCTTGTCCATATGGTTGCTGCGATAAAGGTTGCTATTAAATTCTCATGGGTATTGACCTCCCTGGAATAATTCTTTAATTTTGTGTCACTTCAATCATGAAATACTTTTGTAGGAGTAAAGTCACCATTGTCCTACTGAACCATGGGGATGCTCTGTCATTTGAGAGACAACTGGTGGTGGTTTAACCTGAGGGTCACTACATCTCAGGATGAACAGTCCATCAGCTGGTATGGGGATTGAATGTAGATTGTTGGCATTACTCTGCATCACAAACCAGCTGTCCAGCCAACTGAACTAACTTGATGAATATGGTCAAACTGTATTCTGCTCACAGTTGCAGTTAAAGTTTGTAATTGCATCTTTTAAAAAATCTATTTGCTCTTTTTGTTCATGCTTTAAAATGGAGGTATGATTAGTAAGTTTGCAGATGACAGCAAATTTGCAGACAGCGAAGGGTACCTCAGAGTACAACAGGATCTGGATCAGATGGGCCAGTGGGCTGAGGATTGGCAGATGGAATTCAATTTAGATAAATGCGAGGTGCTGCATTTTTAAAAGATAATGCAGCACAGTACTTATACACTTATGGGTAAGGTCCTGGGGAATGTTGCTGAACAAAGAGACCTTGGAGAGCAGGTTTGTAGCTCCTTGAAAATGGAGTCACAGGTAGACAGGATGGTGAAGGCAGCATTTGGTATGCTTGCCTTTATCGGTCATTGCACAGAGTATGGGAGTTATGGGAGGTCACATAGCAGCTGTACAGGAAATTGGTTAAGTCACTTTTGGAACACTGCATTCAATTCTGGTCTGCCTGCTATAGGAAGGATGTTGTTAAACTTGAACGGGTTCAGAAAAATATTTACAAGGATGTAGCCAGGGTTGGAGGGTTTGAGCTATAGGGAGAGGCTGAATAAGCTGGGGCTATTTTCCCTGGTGTGTAGAGGCTGAGGGGTGACCTTAGAGATTTATAAAATCATGAGGGGCATGAATGGGGTAAATAGGCAAAGTCTTCTCCCCGGGGTGGGGCAGTCCAAAAATAGAGGGGTTTAAAGTGAGAAGGTAAAGATTTAAAAGGGACCTAAGGAGAAACTTTATCCACGCTGAGGGTAGCACATGTATGGAATGAACTGGTGAAGGCTGGTACAATTACATTTAAAAGGCATATGGATGGGTATATGAATAAGATAGGTTCAGAGGGATATGGGCAAATGGGACTAGATTATTTTAGGATAACGAGTTGGCCGAAGGGTCTATGTCCATGCTGTACAGCTCTATGACTCTTTGATAGAGTTTCCAGATAATTTTCTGATTATTATTCCCATGCATGTTCTGATGGCAAGCCAAGTTTCAGAAATAGCAAAATGTAAACTAGCTGTAATATTCAAAGGAGAGGATAATATCCATTCAGCAACTATAATACCACCAAGTTTTTTTTTAAGAATCAAACATCTCTTTCGCATTTAAAATGAAAATGAGTTGCTGAGTACAAAATGTAGTACACCATTGTAAATGAGGAAACTAATCAAAAAGATCTTATTTAAATATTAAAAAAAAACTTATCTGCCGAGAAAAGAAGAAAACAATTAAGTCATGTATCCAATGACAGATTTCTGTGGGCACTATGCAGGTGTGTGTAAGGCCAAATTTACTGGCCCACGTTGGTATCACATTATGGAACAATGAGTAATCAAGGACTCTTTCCTTATAAATTTCAAACTGACCTCAAACCTTTGGGAGAAGCAAAGTTTTACCTTTAGATTCACCCTAAAAATCTGGACTTTCCTTTGAGGCACACTGTTCAACACGACCAAACAAGTGAACTATAGATTGAATTTAATTTGGTTCCTTACCGTGACTGAGCGATTTTGACATTTTTCCATTTTTGTGATGCTTCAGGCTCTATTCAATGAAACACCAAAATTAGCTTAGAATCTTAGAAGTTAACAAATTGACTAAATACTTTTCAATCTTGTAGCTCCTCATGCAATCTTCTATTAACAAGATTATATTATTCAGTTCCTTTTATAGACTGATCAATAGTTTGGTGCTAACTTACAAAGTTACGCAAACACCATTTCTTGGGCTCAGCTACAAATGGCAGTACATAGCTTGCTCACAAAATCTAGATGGTCCAAGGTTTAATTTGGGCCTGTCCATACTTCTCTCATCTAAGCTGAAAAATCAAGGGGGAGGTGCAGTTATTTCACATCCCTGGGCTAGCAAGAGGAAAATACTTCAGGGTTATTTGTTCTGAGAGTATCTAATGTTTCCTGCTGGAAAATTAACCTCTCAAAGTCAGATTGAGTTTAACACCCTCCATGAGCAAATATGCATCCACAAAGTGAGCAACTTAAACTGGGACAATATCTAGTTCAATTAATGATATTCAGGAATGATAGGATTAGATTGGAGGTTGGGGAACAGGAGAGGAAAAGCAAAATAGCCAACTGATTCAAAAGTGTCAGCAAAAGGTTCATCCATCCTTAAAATATTGCTGAATGAATACAGGTGCATAGCAATCTGGTGCATCCATCCTGATTAGTGAAACAAACTCATCCTTGCAACTTGGGACAAGATCTATCTCAGTGTCCATAGAGAACTGGGATTTGGATTATAACAGAGAGCTTCACTATAATGGTCTGCCTTCCCAAAACTGCTTGCATTCTGGGAAGGGTGGGAACATAATTTTTACCTGTAGGAATCTGTTTGGTTAGAGATTAAGGGATAAGATAGAAATTATTAGAAACGTATTCTAGACTGCTTCTTGTTTGAGCCAGTGGGAACTTGGGTAAAGGTCACTGCTGAGATTTTGTTTGCACTTCTATTGTATTTTATCAGAGTCCATGATTTTTTTCCCTCTTCTGCAAGAAACCCCACTGAAAGAATTTGGCTTGTGATTTCATGGCTGTTTACATCAATAATCAAGAATGCTGGGAGATACCAAATTACACCTCTCCTATAAATCCTACTGCTAGTTTTCGCTAGTATTCTCACATACTAATAAAACATGATAAATGGTCTTTGTGCTCAATGCTATAAATATACATTGACTCTAATCAATCCCAGTAGGAAAATATTATAATGAACAGGTTTATGGTGCCGGGGTTGAGGAGGCACAGGAAGGAGGAGGAAGACAGACAGACTCATACCTTTTAAAGATAACATTATATTCAAGTAGGTTAAATAAATTACACCAGGTACTGCTGTGCATGTCTTTTTTACGAAATGGTCATTGTGGACTTTCAACAGGTGTTATGCCTCTGAGGTAGCATGCTGGAAATCAATCCTCATCATTCCTGATTTCGTTGCAAAAGTACACATACGAATTTTCCTGACTGACAGATTGATAGAAAGTATGGACAGGGTTTCTCTACCTAACAAGAATTACTATTTATTAGAATCATAGAATCCCTACAATTTTGAAAGAAGCCATTCAGTCCATTAAGTCTGCACTGACTCTCTAAAGAGCATCCCACCCAGAACCAGTGCTTTTAATCTAGCCTTTCCCAAACCATTTTCTACTTAGTGTTGCCAGTGCAACTCTAAAACAGACCAGAAATTATCACCATTCCCAACACCATGATATCTTGCAGATTTGTTTTTCCCCAGCAAATTTGACACCGTCGTCAAAAATGTAGAAAGATGTGGATTATCTGGCCCAACCAAACAAACTGCATACAAACCACAGAAATGTGGACTGGAAACATTATGTAAAGAAACAAAAACAAAAATCACAACTTTACCTGGAGCCAGAGGAGCCCCAGAATAACTTCCATTGGCTCGGAACAATATAAAATCTAGTAATTTCAATGATTTATGTACTCTCAGGTGCCTAGGCTGAAACAGACTGCTGACAGTGACACTTTGCCTTTTGGACTTGTGCTCACTCATCCAGTGCTCTCCCGTCGGAAACAGGGAGCCTTGAACCATGCCCCTCATTGACAAGAGGAAACAGAATCCATAACTCCAAGCTGCCAAACGAAAGCCTGACCAACCTCCATGAAGAGAAAGTACCATCCAGTTTAATTTTCTGGCCACTACCCGACACCCTAGCTGTCAGGAAAAAAAAATCTGGCCTGAACGTTTTGCTGAAAATTTATCGCGTTTAGGCCAATCAGGCTTCCTAGTAGTGAGAAGCATGATTCAGCTCTTGCAGCTGAAGGAGGAGACCTCAAGTGGAGAATAAATAAAATAGCTGTAGCAAATGGCTATTTTTCTAGGATGGCCATGAACAAGATGCCTTTTAAGAATGCTACCTCCAAATTTCAAGGTTGCTCAGCATTTTGGATTTCATTACATGTTTTAAGCATAAATACACTAAAATGCCAACTCCATTCTCCTCAGCTTGAAGAGGCAATCACAAGGAGAAGATAGTTAGTTATTTACTCACAGTGCTAGGCTTTTCAGATGGTAAAATCTCATGAGTCATTCCATACTTTAAGGAAGTTACTTTGTCCTTAAACTTATCAAACACAGACTGAGGTCTTCTCTTCAATAGCTCATATGAACTTGCTGTCATGTTGTTACGTAGGAACTCAAATGCAAGTTGCAGCTGACCTCTGTTCTTTGCCACTTTGTTTGGTTTTGACTGCAGATCATACCACCTACAAAGAACATGTTAAAAGAAAAATGCTGAGGCCTCAAAGTTCTAACTAATTTAATATCTGCTTAACAAAGGGTGTAAACCCAAATCGCGCTTTGCACCTAACTCATAACTGGCCGAAGAACACGTGGTGGCCAACAGAAATGTTTCAAAGGTATCCCGAAATCCTACTTGAAGAAAATCATCTTTGACCTCAACACTGGACCAACAGGAATTGCTTCACCAGGGCAGATGATTCCAGAGAAGGAAACAAGCTCAAAGAGGGACACAATGGCTCCAATCACAGATTGGCTGACCAATGACTAACTGCTAATGTGTTTTAGATTCTTTTCCCCTGTTCATGCTGTTTCTCCCTTAACCTTTAGCCTTCCCTTTTCTATCCCATTTACTTTCACCCCCATCTCTTAACAGTATTATTGTCTTTTCCTTTTACCCAAGACTCCTTACTTCAAAGAAATGCCACTGTTGCTTATCCTACTCATTCACATCGGCTTCTAACAGACCATCCATGCAATCCACTTGATTCTGTGCCCCATCCACCACCTTGAACATTCATTCCCTTCATTGACACACCGTGGCAGCAGTGTGTACCATTTAAAACATGTACTTCAGTAACTCACCACGGCTCCTCTGAGTTTTATCACTGTGAAGGACAAGGGAAGCAAATATGGCAATACCACAAGTTCTCCTCCAAGCCGCACATCATTCTGACTTGGACCTACCTTGAATTTCTTCATTGTTACTGGATCAAAGTCCTGGAACTCCTTAAATAGAACTGTGGCTCCCTACAACGTAGTGTTCAAGAAGGAAGCTCACCATCACCTTAGCCATGGCAATTCAGGATGGACAATAAGTGCTGGCCTAGTCAGCAATGCCCATATCCCATGAAGGAAAAAAAAATCCATACTCCACAAGTCAATTTCACAAAGTCTTGTACATCTCTGCGGAAACATTGGATACTATGTTCTACAACTAACTTTTTTTTCAAAAATATACTTTATTTATAGAAGTTATAAAGGCACCATTACATAACAGTTCAAATTTGATGTTAAATAAAGTAATACATTTATTTCTTTCAATGTAGTACATGGGACTCAGGTGTTTCACCACATTTACATAGTTACAACATACATTTATATTTCATGTCAAACATTCTTTTCTGCATACAATCCTGGGGATTTCACACCGGTTGAGGCCAGGGTACTATGGTGGGGATGTCTTTAGACAGTGGGCTTTTTCCATTAAGCTTCTGCAGTAGCTGTGCCAAACTTGACTGCATCCTTTGGCAGGTAGTCCTAGGTCATGTAACGTGCCAGTTTGCAACACAAACTCATGGACAGCACTTTATAATGGAGGACCAACAAATTTCAGGTAGACCAAAGAACGTCCTTCACTAAGCTGGGGTCTTTCATCAGCAGCTGATGTTTATTGTAGTGGGCGTCCCTGGGAAAAGCTCATGCAGCACAGGGATCTACCTTAGAATTTCTCAGGATTATATTTTACAAAGAAACCACTGCATCTTTGCCCAAATTCTATACGCAAATTCACATTACAGAAGGTGCTGGACAATTGCCTCTTCTCCACTGCAGCTGTCTCAAGATTGCCACGGCATCCTGTGGAGAATCCAGATATGTGAAGGATATGTTGGGATGATCCTTCCCTGCCAGCAACCAAGCTAGCTTTAATGCTTGCTTGGAAGTTCTGGCCATGAGAGAATCCCTCACCTGCAGGCTTCCCTCCTTAACACACTGGGGATTCAACCATTTTACGCACTCCATCCTCGAGAACGTGGGCACTATACCTTGTGGTTCGGAAGCAAGAATGTTACCGACTAAAGAAACGAGCCACAGCTAATTTTCCTTCAAAAGGGTATCACAAATTTGGAGATCAAGTGGCAAATGAAATTGAATGCAGAGAAGTGTGAAGAGATTCACTTTGGTAGGATGAACATTGAGACAAGAGTGCGCAGGAGCAGAGGAACGTAGGTGTTGGTGCACAAGTCACAGAAGCTAACAGCACAGGTTGAGAGAGTGTTTAACAAACTTTGCATCATCCACAGCTTTATTAATAGAGACAGAGTATAGACCCAAGGAAGTCTATTAGATTGCACAGAATACTGGTTTGATCTCAACTGGAATAGTGTTCAGGTCTGAGTCAGACACTTCAGCAAAGACGCAAAGGAATTAGAAAGGATGCAGAATCAAGTCTGATAATGGTTCCGGGGATGAGATAGATAAATAAATTGGAGATACTGGTGTTTTTTTTGGGAGAACATTGAAAGGAGATTTGATGGACGTGCTTAAAATTGAGGGGTCTGCACAGTTGGGAAAAATACAAACACTTTCTCACTGATAAAAGATCAAGTGAGGGCACAAATTTAAGGTAAATAGCAAAAGCAGCAATAAAGGAAAAAGGAGAAACTTGGGTTCCATTCAAAACCTGAGTTACTGAAGCAGTCTGTGTCCACATGCAGCATCACCTTTTCACCTTTAGACTTGCGTTAATAAGTGACAAGTAACATTATGCCACACAAGTTCCAAGCAATGACCATTTTCAACAGGGAAGAATCTAACTAATTCAATAGCATTACCGTGACTGAATCCCCCATCAGCGATATCCTCGGGGTGACCACTGACCAGAAACTGATATGGTCATATAAATACTGCAGTTACAAATACAGGTCTGGAGATGGGAATTCCTCGCCACCTTACTTCTTTGAGCCCGTCAACCATCTACAAGGCACAAGACAATAACATGATGGAACACTCTCTTTTTGCTTCAATGAGTGTAGCTTCAAGAACACACAAGTAGCTCAACACCATTCAGGACACATTGGCCCTTTTGATTGGCACACCAACCACGACATTTACTCCCTTCACCTCCGATGCATAGTAGCAGCACTGTGTACCATGTGCACTGCACTGCAGCAACTTGCCAAGGTGCAAGAGTTCTGCTCAATAGAAGGACAAGACAGCAAATACATGGTAATGCCAACATAAGCATTTCATCACAAAGCCACAAACCATCCTGACTTGAAACTATATTACTGTTCATTCACTGTCACAGGATCAAAAGCCTGAAACCTCCTTCCTATCAGTTCTGCAGGTGCACAATTGTGAGCAGCTTTGGGCCCCTTATCTAAGAAAGGACGTGCTGGCATTGGATGGGGTCTAGAGGTGTACAAGAATGATCCCAGGAATGAAGGGTTTGTCATACGAGGAACAGTCGAGGACTCTGGGTCTGTACTGTTATTTTAGAAGGATAAGGGGGATCTCATTGATATTTACTGAGACACCCGGATAGAGTGAATGTAGAGATGTTTCCACCAGTAGGACAGACTAGGACCTGACAACACAGCCTCAGAGTGAAGGTACAACTCTTCAGAACGGAGATGAGGAGAAATTTCTTCAGCGAGAGGGTAGTGAATCTGTGGAACTCTGCCATAGAAGACTGTGGAGGCCAAGTAATTGATTGTATTTAAGGCAGAGATGGATAGATTTTGGATTAAAGGGATCAAGGTTATGAGGAAAAGGTGGTAGAACAAGTTTGATCAAATGGTGGAGCAGACTCAATAGGCCGAATGGCCTAATTCTGCTCCTGTATCTTATGGTCTTACACCAGATGGACAGCAGTAGTTCAAAAAGGCAGGTTATCACCACCTTCACATGGACAACCAGTGATCGGCAATAATTACTGACCTTGACAACAAAAATTCACCTTATTTTACTTTGCAAGACATGAGCAAAGGGATTAGGAAGAAATATATAATTTTGCAGGTGATGGATGGGGCAGGAACTCTAATCCCTCTCTTGATTTACCCATAAATCTTGACGCTACAAATACTGGAAACAACAAGACATTCTTTTAAAAAAAAAACCGAACAATGAACACCAACTTTGATAATACTTTTCAAGTGATTACCAATGAGCTACATAATGTGACATCACCATGATTTTTAAAAATTGTGCTGGTACCCTACACATTATTATGCTGCAATATTTGAGATAACTACTATACAGATGGATAATACAACTTTGTATTGGAGCCTGTCATGCAGGGCTGCTGCCTTCACTCTGAATAAAGAATTAAGCCTGTAGATGCAAGATAAAATGTAGTATAGTATTGCAAATATGCTTCAAAACTGGCTCCACTGAAGTTTCTAACAGAGACCAATCTACAGTGTTACAAAAAAACATGAATATAAAAATACTTAAATATACATAAACACAAAATCTGAAGTAAAAACAAGATGTGTTGATATATACAGCATGAGAGTCAAGACTGGAAAGAGAAAAGACATGTTAATATTTCAGGTGTGCATCTTTGATCAGAACTGGTTCAAATAAAAAGACTAAATACAGTGAAAAGTGCATACCTTCACCGTACATACATGGCACCATTCACATTAGCTTACAATAAGATAAAAAGAAATAGCTTAAGAGAGTCCAATTTTCCTTTCCACTGCTGCCATCCCGCTCCGGGCATTCCAGCCCTCGTCATGCCTCCGCCAGCGTCCTGCTCCGGGCCATCTCATTGGGCTGGTGAGGGCAAGCCACTCTTTATCCACTGTCGCCGCAGGACACAGCTCCCGCCACATCGTTCCTGGTCACAACCTGGCTCCTTCCCGATTCCTTAGGTAGGTAGTTAACAGGGGTGGGAGATAGAACTACTACAGAGGGAGAGAGAAGAAGAGAGAATAAAAAAGGGGAAGGACAAAGGAAGAAAGAAAGAGAAAGAGAACTGGCAAGCAGAGTGGAGCTCTAAATGGAACGACTTACCCTGCTGCCATTTTGCCGGAAAATTAATTGCATATTAACGTAGACTCCACATCCTCAGTCCACATGTTGCCTGGTATAATAACTACTGCTCATTTATTGAAGCACAGTGTCATTTGCTGACAGAAAATATATGCAATATCATTATATCCACTAATTCAGGGCTTGTACAGTGGATTGGTTAATTTAAAACTGGAATCAAAGCTACCTTCCCCTCTAGTCATCGTTAAACATTCCATTCCAACAATGAAAATATATTTCTACATAATCACCAAACTAAAAACAATCATACTCCAATAAATCATCAGCTGTGGAGAATATTGCTATCAAGACAATAGCAACTCTGACCAATCAATAATATCCCACTACAGATATGATTGCTGAGGTACGAAGTTCCAGTTCCAAGAATGTGACTCATATCAATCATGCAATTTAACAAAACCTACCCCTTTATTCTGCGCTGCTCAACAAAAAAAAAAAACTCTGCATTAGTATAGGTTTTACCCTACCGAATAAAAATGAAATGCTTGGTATTCTTTACCCTGCTACGTAAGCTGGAACTCCATGCTACAATAGATAGTCTGACGAGGATTACTTGTTCTGTCCAAAATAATAAACATTTACCACACAAAATGAAGCAATTTGTCCCAAAACTATCAACTGTTAGTTGCTAAGTTTAACAATCGAGAACACTGAGCTTCACAGCAATTGCTACCCTATCTGATAATGTGGGAAGTACACTCAAATCAGAAGCTTCACTCTGAAATGCAGAAATTTCTTTTGATATAAGCCATAATCAATATATTACTGAATAAAGTAAACTTCACAGAATTTTACAATAACGTTTGAAATATAAGAAAGCAAGCAGAAGGGAAATGCCCAAAAGAAGAGAGGTGGATACTAAGGCAAGGCACAAGATTCTTGGGTCCTTGCATTACAGTGTAACAGAAGAGATTTTCCCATCTCCCATGGTCAGTCATACAGATGCAATCATCACATTTTGGTTAAGCAGCATGTGCCAGCATGGGCAATTTACAGGTGCCCACCCTGTAGCGCCAACCAGAAATCAGATTTTGTTGTGTACCTTAAGTAGCAAAATACAATTTTTCTCAAGGTAACTATCTCTTCCAGAATGAGAGTCTTTGTCCCAGGAGCTATATAAGTCACCACAAAAAAATCTTATACCGGAATTTGTGACTTTCAGTTACAATCAAGACTTGTGAAGATTTGACTTACTTGCCTGGAAAGCTATTCAGGAAAACACTAAACAGATTAAAAGATGACTAACTCTTAAGTAACTACACAACTTAACTGCTCTTTCCACTCTCCTCCAACCAACCCGATACCTCACCCAGACTTCACTTCCCCCTAGTCCAACTCTCCTTGTTGGCCCTCAATCCCACAACCCAACCACAATGTCTCCCACCTCCAATCCTGACTCTCCCCAAACACCCAACCCAACTCTGACATCTTTCCTGATATCCCAACCTAGACTCTACTCCACACCCCAAACTCTGTCCCACTGCCCAACACAGACTCTATCCCTTCAAACACTCTAGATTCCACCCCAAACCAAATTCCACACCTCTCACCATTTTCCCCACCACAACCCATACTCTAACCCCAATCCTGCCCAACTCATACTCCACCCACCAACCTCCTCAGCTCCGGCTTCACTGTCCAACCCTGCTAGCCTAACCCCGATTCCACAAACCCCCATAAGATTTTAAATGCATCAAATTTCTTTCAAACCTTCACTTCAAGGAAAACAGTTCCAAATTCTCATGTGTATCTATACAATTGAAGGTCCTCATTCCTGGATTTCAAGACTTTTTTTGCACCCTCTTTAACACCTTTGCATCTTTCCTAAAATGTAACAACCAGAACTGGATGCAATACTACAGTTGAGGGTGAATCAGTATTCCAAGTATGATGAATATAACTTGCTTAAACTTCATTCTCTCTTAATGAAGCCTTGGATGCTGTGTGCTTTATTAATTACTCTCAACCTACCTTATCTTAAAAATGTTTGCACACTATACCCTGGCCCTTTCGCACCTGTACCTTCAGAATTGCACCTTTGTCTCTGTTCTTCCTGAAAAAAATTGATCATTTCACATTTTGCACTAAATTACATTCACCATGTGTGGCATTCCACCACCTTGTCAATGTTCTACACTATCCTCCTCACAGTTCACAATATTGCCATGTTTCAGATCATCCTCAAATGCTGGGCATTTGCCCTGTACACAAAGACCTAGGTCATCAGCGCACCTGCTTCAATTTGATCCATTCATAATTATCATGGCTGTATAACTATTATTGCAGTAAATGAGTCATTTTACTTGTGAAGTAAAAATTGACCTGGCCTCTCAACAATTCTTAAATCTATCTTCTCTATGAAGCTTAGTAAGAACAAGTGCAGTGAACATCCCAGTTAATCTCATTTGGCCAGCTAGCAATAGGGTACTGAGAGAACACCAAGGCATAGGGTCCCCAGTGAGGAAATCAAAGCCTACGAGATGGGAGACAACATGATCAGGGCACACAGTTTCAAATATTTTAAGGAGTAAAGCAGTAAGCATATGGCAAAAAAAAACCGCAAAGATCTAGGATTGAATGAATTGAAAGTGAATGAGATGGTCTGCTCCCTATAATACGACAGAACAGTGGTTAGCACTGCTGCCGCACAGCGCCAGGCCCCAGGTTTGATTCCATCCTCAGGCAACAGTCTGTGTGCAGTTTACATATCTCCCAGCGCCTGTGTGGGTTTGCTCCAATTTCAAGTCCAAAAATGTATAGTTTAGGTGGATTGGCCATGCTAAATTGCCCAGTGTCCAGGGATGTGCAGACTGGGTGAGTTAGCCACAGGAAATGCAGGGTTACAGGGATGGATGGGGGGTGGGGGGATGCTCTTTGCAGGCCTATGTAGACTTGATGGGCCAAATGGCCTGCTTCCACACTGTAGGATTCTATGATTCCATAATCATAGAATCTGTGATCAGTGGCTTATTACCAGTCTTATAATGAAGTGGGTCTTCACTTTGTACAATCGCACTTTTTTTGAGAAAGAGAACTAGACCAAAACCTGGCAGAATTCGCAGTGGGGTTAAAGCAATGGCCGTGGACTGTCCAGGATTTGTTCTGTTTAGAACTGGGGGTGGGTGGAGGGGAGG